TCGCTTGTTTGAGGTGATCGACACTTTGGTATTTTTTTGGTGACATCCTTGCATTCCAAGATACTCCAGACACAATAGTCCAACGGATTGGTATTCGAAGATTTTGGTGGCCATTGTGCGCTGGAAATGAAGCGAAGAACATCATTTTGTAACCATTCTTGGGTGGCGCGCGCTGAGTGCGATGGTGCTGAGTCCTGTTGGAATTTCCAAGATCTGCGGCTAAAATGTTGGCTTGCCCAAGGCTTTAATATACCCTTCAGAATATTTTCGCCATAATATTCGGCATTTATTCGGATGCCACGGTCGATTAATGAGAGGGGGGATCGACCATCGGCTGTTACGGCAGCCCACACCATCACTATGGCCGGCGCTTGATGGTGCACATAAACACTATCATTTTGTTTGTTTACAAACTGCTGGACAACGAATGTTTTCTCATCGGAGAAAACCAAATTTGGCAGCTCACCATTTTCGGCCACACGAAGCAACTCTTTAGCTCTTTTGAGTTCATTTTCTTTCTGTTGCGGCGTAAGTTCTTGCACTTTTTGGATTTCCAATGGCTTAACCCCGAGCTCATTTTTTCAATATATGCCGAATACAAAAATTTGCGATATGTTCAGCTCACGAGCCATTTTTCGGTCACTGCGACGAGGGTTTCGATCAAGTCGCTTCTTTATTTTTGAACCATTTCTGCTGATGTTGCTGTTTTCCTTCGTCCACTTCCTTGATTGCGGGCTATAGCGACGACACTTGTGTTTTTCCAGCCACGATAGCCACTTGAGGTTTTCCAGCCAAATATACACTATCACGCTTGAATTCCATCACGAATAACTTTTTTCTGGAAAATTCTCACCAAAATGCTTTTGTACGCTTGTAAACAATATAATGAGCTATCACTGGAATAATTTTAACAGCTATCGGACGAGTGACTCAGTCTAAAGTTGGTTGCAGTTTTTATACCCTACACCACATAGTGGTAAGGGTATTATGTCTTTGTGCATTTGTTTGTAACATGGAGAAGGAAGCGAGATAGACCCATAGTTCCTTTTGAGGATCTCCATAGAATCACTTTCTGAGTTGATTTATGCATGTCAGTCCGTCTGTCCATGTATTCTTTGGAACAAAATTCAGGTCGCATTTATTATCCGATTGAGATGAAATTTTGCACAAATCATTTGTTTGGCCCTATTGAAATTGGATATAATCAGTAAAAATTTAGATATAGCTCCCATATATATCTTCGTCCGATTTGTCTTTTATCGTACACCAAACGTGTAATATCAGTCCGAATAGTATGGAATTTTGCACATACAACCAGATTATACCTACCAGATATAGCTATAGTTCCCATATATATTGTTCATCCGATTTGTTATTTTTGTCCTCCGCAGTCGTAATATGCACTCTGTAATAACGATATTCAGGGAAATATATCAAATACAGCTCAGAAATATCTTTGCCAAATTTTATCGAGATTGGTTCAGATTTGGATATAGCTCCCATATATATCTTTATCTGATTTCAAATTAATTTTGCACCATATGGGCAATACAAGTCCGAATTTAAAATATACAAATGCTTCGGCATATTTAGTCTTTTGAACTTTAAATTATAAATATAATCATAGCGTGTATGATTGAAATCTCCCATAAAAACTTTTAACTGTTACGTGGGGCTCTACTAAATTAGCAAAGTGGTGTAGGGTATCATAAAGTCGGCCCCGCCCGACTTTAGAACTTTCTTTACTGGTTTTCATCTCATCCTGTACATAAACATTCTCCTTTGCGATAGGGCCAATAATGTGGGAGACTACGATAGTTGCCAATATATTTGTACCTTATTGCAATGCTAAGTAGTTGGCGAAACTTTCAAGCTATAATTAATATTAAATGTTTGTGCCACAGTTCACAAGTTCGTCGTACATTCCGAATGAGAAAATTTTAATTTTGAAAATTAAAAAATTAAATCTTATGAAAAATTTAATATTTTGCCATAGAATTTTATATTTTTATGTTTCTTTCTGAGCAAAACACTTCTAGATGGTAGAACAAGAATTTCGCTCTTTTACTATTTTTCCATTAAAAAAAAGTGGGAACACAACAATTTATGCTATATTAGTATAAAATACTCACGTATATTTTTATACTAGACCCTGTACGTCATACATATATAACTCTTTAGAACATATTGTGCATAAATATATGATTTCTCGGAAATCATCTACATCATTAAAATACAGAGCTTTTCATTTGAAGTGTGTGTTTTTTATTTACAATCATCTCTACATTCAAAAATTTGTAGCTTCTTTGTTAATTTTTGCTTCCGTTTGCAATACGGCCGATAGTTTTGAAGCTTTGACAAAAATCCGCAAACGGTTGAGTTTCGAATGAGCAAAACAAATTGTTTTAAAATGTTTTCTGCGTTCAATTTAAATTAAACATTTTACAGTGCTGAAGTAGTAAAAGTAAACAAAGTGAAGTTGGTGGCGATTGGTGTGAAAGAGCCGTCTTTTTTATTGTAGTACCAGCAAGCATTGAGCGCGGGTATTGGCAAAACATTGTTTTTTTTGGTTGACTGACTGACTGTTGCCCCAGGTAACTGACCACACAGACCAACAACCAAACGGGTGAAAATTCTAAATAGAACAATGAGAGCATGAACAATGGTAAAAACAACTACAACAACAATAAAAGCCTTGTAAAACAAATATAAAATAAACTGAAAATATTCTCTGTGTGTTTATTATTAACCCTCTAACGTGTAAGATGTTCCCTTAAAGGCCGATAATGAAGTTGTGGACACATCATTGACTATTATTTGTATTTTTATACCCTACACCACATAGTGGTAAGGGTATTATGTCTTTGTACATTTTTTTATAACATCGAGAAGGAAGCGAGATAGACCCATAGTTACTTGTGAGGATCTTCATAGAATCATTTTCTGAGTCGATTTATGCATGTTAGTCCGCCCGCCCGTCCACGTATTCTTGTGAACAAAATGCAGTTCGTATTTATTATCCGATTGAGATGAAACTTTGCAAACAATATTTGTTTTGCCCAAGGACGGTGATAATCGAATCAGATATAGCTATAGCTCCATATATATGTTTCATCTGATTTGGTGTTTAAGTCCTTACATTTGTAATATGAATTCGACAACATTGATATTTGGTACCAGATATCTTATAAAGCTCGGAAATACCTTTGTCAAATTTTATCGCGTACGGCTAAGATTTGGATAAAGCTCCCATATATATCCTTAATTTGATTTCAGGTTTATAATATTTATTTCAGCCACTGTAATGGCTAATATCAGCCCAAATGGAGTGAATTTCGGGACATACGTTTCCATTTGTGCAACTTGGCTCCGATATAATTTTTTTTTATATAATCCTTCTCCAGGTGATATCATGCACTCTATGGCAAACTATAAGTGCTCTAAAGCCAAATGTTGATAGGTGGTGTGATTTACTTGAAATAAATTATTTTGTTACTGGAGGTCTACTAAATATGCATAGTGGTGTAGGGTATCATAAGTCGGCCCCGCTGAAGATAGAATCTTAAAATTTCGCACGAGGTTAGTCATGGTGGACAAACACAATGAGCTAGAATTCTGAAATTTGGAATGAGAGTCACTGATCGTCAAAATTTGGAAAATCTGAAATTTTGTATAAGGGTCGCATGTATAGCCTGTACATATGGAGGCGGTTTTAGAAATATGTACAATAAAAGGGATAGAGATAGAATTTTGAAATTTGATATTTAGATTACTGATTTTATGTGTTTAAGATTTGTTGGTGGTTTGAAAATGTGGCTCTATTTTTGTACGAAAAGTACTAAATTGTACAAAATTCAGTATTGTACGCAGGGATGGAGCTAGAATCCCACATTTGATATTGAGGTCTTTGTTGGTATGTGGTGTTGAGATACAGAGGCGGTTTTGGGAATGTGTACTATAATTGTACGAAAAGTACTAAATGGCACTAAAGTTGGTATTGGTTGAAGGGATAGAGCTGGAATCCTCAAATTTGATACTGAGGTCTCTGTTAGTATCTGGAATTGAGATAAGAAGGTGGTTTTGGAAATGTGTACCATGATTGTAGAAAAGTACTAAATGGTACTACATTTGGTATTTATTAAAGGGATAGATATATCTTTTTAAAAGTTGATAGTTAGATTACTAATGATATCTGTGTTTTAAGAATTGGCGATGGTTGGGAAATGCGACCTATATTTGTGTGAAAAGTACTAAATTATAATAATTTTGGTACTGGGTGAAAGGATAAAACTGAAATCGTGAAACTGTTGGTGTTTAGGGTTCAGATATGAAACGTTTTTGCAAAAAAGTACTAAAATAATACGAAAAATATCAAAGGTTACTAAATTGGCCGTTGAGTGAATGGACAACGCTTGAATCCTGAAATTTGATATTGAGGTGTCAGTTGGTATCTGGAATAGAGATATGGAGGTGGTTTTGAAAATGTGTACTATAGTTGAGGTCATAGTTTCTAGGATTTATGTACATATGGAGGTGGTTTTGGAAATGTGTACTATAATTTTACGAAAAGTACTACATGGTATTAAATTTGTTATAAGCCGAAGGCATAGAGATAAAATCGGAATTGATATTTAGATAACTGATGACATCTGTATTTGAGAATTGGATTTACATACTTGAGACGGAAATATTGGATGGCCCATTACTAATATCCTCATGGGTTAACAACTCGACCAATTGATAACCCTCTTTGTCAAAAACCTTTCTTTTATTACGGCCTCACAAATATTAGCGAAAATCAAGGAGAGTGCATTTCGTTTCCACTGATCTAAGGGTTAAAAGGAAAGTTTGATTTAGGTGGGGGGAATTTTGATTGACTACAAACTACCACCAGCGAGACAAACAACGCCGCCAACATTACCACCACCAACAACGCGCCACCTGCCAAAGGTAAATCAAGGCGTCCAACAACGAAAAATAGTGTTTAAACAGAACTTGGCGGAGAGAGTTGGAAAAATCGAATTATAACGGAAAAAACCAATGGAATATTTGAAATGAATAGTGTGGAATGTAAAATAAAACAACAAATTCTTACACCATGAAAATAGAAGTGAAAATTGTCTACGAAAAGTGAAAATTCTTGAAATCAATTGTCAATAACCAAAAACCAAGAAATCCTTAAAAAACGGAAACCGAAAACAAATCTACACTCATGAATAAAGTGTCGCCATTCGTAAAAAGTATTTCGCAATTGCAAACAATTGGAATATTTCAATTATGAAGTTATGCAAAACTTTATCCTGCTTGTCAGACTTAAAGCCTTGCAGCACTCGGCAGCAGTTTATTTCGTTTAGAGTGGAAATGCCATTGGTAGAGCAGCAGGAATTACAGCAACACCGAGAAACACCAAAAGGAATTGTTGTTGTTTTTGACGTCAGAAGTCATTATTAAGGCCTAAAATAACGAAAAAACACCAACTCGTGAACAAGTGAAGTGACAGAAATACAGACAGACACGCGGGTCATATAATAGAAAGATACGTAATATGTTTGTGGTGAATAGTTAATGGTTTCTAGGCATTTTGTTGTTTGTCCACTAATAAAAGAAACAACAACAACAAAGAACGGTGTAATCATAGCAACAACAACACCAGAAAAATGATTTCCGAAAGATTTGTAAAAGTTTTAATCGTTCTCATCGGATTCGCATTGAAATTTCCCAATTGTTATGGTGACGTCGGTCTGCCGTTAATACAAATAAGTCACGGTACGTTGCACCTACGCTTAATGCTTATTTATTTTTTTATACCGAATAACATACATATATCTGAATGTACACAATACATAGCCTTTACATGTGGTTGGATGTGTATGTTCTATGTTTAATTTGCAGCTATAGTTTCAGGAAGTTAGTGTAAACGGTATTATTGTGTTGGACTACAAAGCTATGCCGGAGAAGAATTATATTTTTGTTAACCATTTTTTTTAATGGCGAAAAAACACGGGTACTGATTCAAAAATTTGATTTCCCGCTAAATAAATTTAATATGTTGTTATTTCAAAGGGAACTTATTCCAATAAAAGCAGTGAAATAACTGACTGACTGAGAATCAATGCCCCGAGACAACGGCTGAAGCTAGAATCTTGAAATTTTGACCGAGAGCCAGTCTTGGTGCCTAGGCGTGGAATAAGGCTAGTTTTTTTGGAATCGAAATACTAAAAGGGTACGAAAAGTACTAAAATGTAAAAAAAATAGCAATTACGTATTGGACAAACGGAATGAGCTAGAATTCTGAATATTTTGAATGAGAGTATAGATGAATCAAAGGGTTTTTGGAAATTCGAACTTTTAAAGTTACGAAAAGTTCTAAAATGGTACCATATGAACAGATAAAGCTAAAAACTTGAAATTTAGTGTGGGAATCAAAGGTGGAAAGTAAGTTTTGGTAGTGAGAAAATGTGTACGATACAGGGTGAAATAAAATAAATGCTACAAAGTCAAACACCATCATTTTAACATGTTTATACCCTACACCACAAGGTGGTCAGGGTATTATGTCTTTGTGCATTTGTTTGTAACAGGCAAAAGGAAACGAGATAGACCCATAGTTCCTTTTGATGATATGCATAGAATCACATTCTGAGTCGATTTATGCATGTCCGTCCGTCCGTCTGTGTTTTTGTAAACAAAGTATAGTTCGCATTTATTGCCCTATCCAGATGAAATTTTGCACAAATCATTTGTTTGGCCCAAAGACGAACCATATTGAAATTGGAGATAATCGGTCAAAATTTAGATATAGCTCCCATATATATCTTCGTCCGATGTGCTTTTATTGTGCACCAAACGTGTAATATCTGTCCGAATTGTATGGAATTTTGCACGTACGATCAAATTGGACCTGAAAATAAGTATGACAAATTTGATCGAAATCGGTTCAGATATAGCTATAGCTCCGATATATATTGTTCATCCGATTTGCTATTTTTGTCCTCCGCAGCCGTAATATGCACTCCGTAACAACAATATTTGGGGAAATATATCAAATACAGCTCAGAAATTTCTTTGCCTAATTTTATCGAGATCGGTTCAGATTTGGATATAGCTCCCATATATAACTTCGTCCGATTTACATTTGATTGTGCACCAAACGTCTAATATTTGGCCAAATTGAATGAAATTTGGCACTTACAACCGAATTGAGTCTAGAAGCTAGTATGTCAAATTTGGTGAAGATCTACTAAATTAGCAAAGTGGTATAGGGTATCATAAAGTCGGCCCGCCCGACTTTAAGACTTTCTTTACTGGTTTTTTTAAAATTGTATTGAATGAAGGCAAAAAATTTCGGAAATAGCATCAAATTTTAGAAAAAGTTTAGATTTGTTCGAATTGGTCACTTTTGCTATGAATTATAGCCTTCAAACGGCCAATGAAACCGAGGTATTTTGGCCCATTCCCGGCGAAGCGCTTGCTTGAGGTGATCGATATTTTGGAATTTTTATACCCTCCACCATAGTATGGAGGGTATATTAAGTTTGTCATTCCGTTTGTAACACCTCGAAATATACATTTTAGACCTTTGTGGGGTCTATATTCTTGATCAGCATAAAATTCTATGTCTATCCGGCTGTGGAAATCACTCTAGCTTCCGAACGAATTGAAGTAGATTGATAAAATTTTACTCAAATGTATATTATATCTGCAGGACTATTTGTATTGAAAATGGGCCATAAAGGTCAACGTTTTTGTATAGCCCCCATATAACGGTACCTCCCCATATTCGGTATTTTAATGATTTTAGCGACATTATTCACCGGAATTGTTTCAAATTTGGTATTTGGTGTTCGTAATGGATGCTACAGCCTATGACAGAAAATTGTCTGTGCAGGTTCACGCCTTCGTATAGACCCCATATAACGGTATCCCCCCAATATTCGATATTTTCATGATTTTAGCGATATTTTTCATCGGAATAATTCTGGAATCCCCAAATTTATATGAAGGTGGTTTTGAAAATGTATTCTATAATTCTTCGAAAAGTACTAAGTGATACTAAATTGGGTCTTGGGTAAAGGGATAGGTGTGATTTTGGACATGCGTAGTACGTAATAAATTTGGCAGTGGGTCTTAGGATAGATCTGGAATTCCCAAATTTGATATTGAGGTTAGGATTTTTCATCAGCACCAGATATACTGATACATGTTTAAAATTTAAAGAAAATTAGATGTCTATTACAAATTTAATGGGAATAATTGTTTATAAAAATGTAACCTTTTGTGGAGGAGTTACGAAAAGGAATGAGCCGGCAAATATTATATATATTCACGTCAGATCTTTAGTTGAGTAAAATATTTAAATCTACCAAGCTTGAATAGAATCGCTGGCTTTTTTCGCAAGTTATGGGAGATATAAATATTTAAAATTTGGTCCTTTGAGGGCTCAATACATCCCATTTTCACAACTGATCTTGTGTTGATACAAAAATATTGGAGTGTGTTGAGTTAGAAAATAATTGAATGCATTATATTCAAAATATTGACCCGTTGTGAGGGAGGTATCAGTAGGAGTGGATCGATATATCCTATCTTCACACCAGATCTTGTGCTACTAAAAATATTGGGATATGTGGAATTTTAAGGCATTCCTATTTCACATGTTTTAAGAGTTTTGATTATTTAAAACTAGCTGAACCCGGTGCGCTTCGCTACCCCTTTTGATTTTATATGCATTCAAAATTTTATTTACGAATATATGTTGGATAAAGAAAAACAAATTTAAAAATTAAAAAAAAATATTGCACTAATTTAATGCGTTAATAAACAAAATCATTACAAAAGCAGTAACGTGACATGCATACACGAAGGGTTTGTCCTTTGGATTTATTTATTTCATAGCAAATACCAAGCGTGCAGGAAACTGCAATTTTTTTAAGTAGAGTGGCATTTCTATTGCTATTAGTGAATTCGAGATAGCAACATACTTCGCCGTAATAAGCGTATTTCAAATAAATTGTTGTGTTGTTTTTTAGTGTTAGCCTAAGGCGTTGTGGGTCAATGGTTCTTATTAAAATCATATCCCAATCTGATCCGATTTAAATATAATTTTAAAAAAATTACTTTTACACCAAACTCCGCCACACCTTTCATATTTCATTGAAATTGGTGCGTCAAATATGTGAAATCGGCCGAGAATATATATATGGGAGCTATATCCAAATCTTAACTAATTTCCAATAAATTTATCACATTTATTATTATAACCAAATTCCGCCACACATTCTGAATTTCATTGGAATCGGTCATATATATCGTGTTTGGTGCATAATATGTATGAAATCAGCCGAAATATATATGTTAGCTATATCCAAACCTCAACTGATTTCAATATAATTTGGCAATTTTTGCTGGTGCCAGATTTTGTCTTTCTCGCTTTGGGTGCATCAAATATGTGAAATCGGCTGAGTATATATATGGGAGCTATAATCAAATCTGAGCGTATTTGAATATAATTTGTCAAATTTATTTTTTTACCAAATTTAGCCACTCATGCCGAATTTCATTGGAATCGGAAATACGTATCGTGTTTTGTGCATCAAATATGTGAAATCGCCCGAAAATATATATGGGAGCTATATCCAAATCTGAACCGATTTTAATATAATTTGACTAATTTATTTTCTAATCAAAATCCGGTTACTTATTCCAAATTTCTTTGGAATCGAACATATATATCGTGTATGGTGCATCAAATACATTGAATCAGTCGAAAATATATATGAGAGTTATATCCAAATCTGAACAGATTTCAATATAATTTGACAAAATAATTTTTGCTCCCAATTCCGTTACTTATTTTAAATTTCATTACAATTGGAAATACATATCGTGTTTGGTCCACCAAATACATGAAATCGGCCGAAAATGTATATGGGAGCTATATCCAAATCTGAACCGATTTCAATATAATTTGGGAAATCAATTTTTTAGATAAAATCTATTACACGTTTCAAATTTCATTGAAATTGGGGATACATAGCGTGATTGGTGCATCAAATGCTTGAAATCGGCCGAAAATATATATGGGAGCTATATCAAAATCTGAACCGATTTCAATATAATTTGACAAATTTTTTTTCGGATCTAATCCCGTCACACATTCCAAATTTCATTGGAATCGAACATTCATATTGTGTTTGAGGCATCAAATGAACGAAATCGGTCGAAAATATATATGGGAGCTATATCCAAATCTGAACCGATTACAATATAATTTGGCAAACTTATTTTTGTTCCAAATTCCGTTACATATTCCAAATTTGGAGACTGTATCTTCAACCTATCAATAGATATGTGCATATAAAATCTAAATTTTTGGGAGGTACCTCCGATTCTGATGCTATATCTCCAGTTCCAAGTGGAAATTCAAAAATGTATATAGCCTATGTTACTTTCAGGCGATGTTGCAGTATATATGGAAATTTTGAGGAAAATCTATTCAACGTTTTTCGAGTCCATAAATTACAAACAAACAAACAAACATACAAACATTTTCCTCTTTTATAGATATAGATGTTGACCCTTTTTGGGGGGAGTGGAGTGATATTGTCCATTTTCGCATTCGACCTAGTACTGACATAAATATTAGGATTTGCTAAGTTTGAACAAAATTGGGTGATTCTTTCTTGTTTTATGACGTAAATTAATTTCCCATTTATTCATCATTGCATGCTATGTCGATGGGTTTAAGTCTGACCAACAAGACGAGT